GAGGTGGAGAGATGGAGAGATGGCTCAGCAGTTCAAGAGCACTGGCTGCTCCGGCAGAGGACCTAGGTTTGAATCCCAGCACCCACACGACAGCTAACAACTATCCTAACTCCAGATCCAGGAAATTCAATGCCCTCTTCTGACCTCTGTGGGCATTGCACGACATGGGTACACCCACCTACATGTAGGCAATACACTCATATACATAAAATAAAAATAACTAAAACATCTTTAAAAAAAGAAAATACTAGTAGAGATCTTCCCATTTACTGAAAAGCAGAAAAGGATTTCAGGCATTCACATTTATTGATAGACTATGATATTTCAAATTTAGATCATGAATTTCAAAAGCATAATTGGTGGCATGAAAAGGTATTGTGCAGATCTTAAAGGAGAATCTTCTCTTAACCATGTTCTTATATCATGCAAACATAAGATCTATGCGAGAAGGTGTGACTGGTACTTGGAAACGACTTTCAAAAGTTTGTAAAGTGAAAACTGGCAAATTCTAAGGTGGTGCCTGTAACTCCTCTAGTGCCATGTGCTCTCATAAGCATTAAATTATTTAATTTTAATTTTAATTTTATGTGTATGAATGTTTTGCCTGCATGTGTGTAAGTGCACCTGTGTGTGCAATGCTCACAGAAGACCAGAAGAGGGCGTTGGATACCCTGGAACTGGAGTTACAGACAGTTATTAGCCACCACGTGGGTGCTGGGAACTGAACCTGGGTCTTTTGCAAGAGCAGCCCCATGAGGGCCAGAGACTGCTTCTGCTTTGCCTACTGTTCTGCTCCTGCATCTCTCATATCTAACGCATTGTCCCATAAAATTAACTTTAAAAAAATCAAGGAATTATAATAAATAGCATTCGCTGAGCACTGTATCACATATATGACAATCTATGACTCATATAACCCAGAACAAAGCTGTTGCTCTGAGCTCCAGATGGCTTCAGTGTTGCTTGCATTCCAGTATGCAACTCCTCTGACCAACCTTGCACCAGTTCTGACTAGAGTCAAGCCAATTGTTGATTTGTAAACATGACAAAATGAATTATGGTGTTGTATCCAGAGTCATGTTACTCATTCATGTGAAAACAAGTGATGGCTGTCAGCTTAGCTTTATGCTGGGTGAAACTACTTTTAAAGTATTTAAAAATTCTGAAACCAAGAACTTAATCTTTCATTTTATGTTAACAAGTTGCAAAATCTGAACAATAAATCCATTATCTGCACCCAGCCACCACGCCCCCCGCCACGCTGCCATCCATAGGAGGGGATGGGGTACGTGGCAACACCACTTTGGCAGGTCAGTTTTACTGAACCAGGTTTCAGACTCTACAGGAATCCTTTTGACCATCTCTCTCTCCCTAATTCCATGGAAAATGAGATCGAATTACACACACACACACACACGCACACACACACGCACACACACACATTCATATGTATGTATAAAAATGTCATACAGTGTTTTTCAAGCTATATGATCTGTTCATTCCAAGATTAATTTCAATACTTTAATATATAGTTTGTTAAAATAAAATGGAATAAAGCACACAACATTTTCCAAACTCACTTCATCACTGAACACCATTTTAAGTGCAAAGTTTCTCCCACATCTACCCATGCTCCCCACCCTGTGCCACTGAGTTCTTTGGAAGGCAACTTGGGAAATATCTCTACAGTATCTTACCACATTCTTGGATAATTCCCTTCAAGTTTTCTGATATTTATGTGTGATCTAGGTGGTTACTCAACAGTTTGAAGTTCTTGTTTGTCTTTTTTATTTATAGAGCTTTGAATCACATGCTGCTGTACATCTGTGCATAAGAGCCAGTCAGATAAGAAGCTAGTTTAAAGAACCACAGTTATTCATGTTTCAGAGATTACGTTTTGCACACTAACCTCATTGACTATATATGAGCTGAAGTATTCTGGGAATTTACTTTTCATTTTGGTCAAGTGCCCATGAATCCTAGTTTATGCCTGATAATGTCTTCTTTCCACAAGAAATTAATTAAATGACTTCCCCACATTAAATTCTCAAACAACTACTGCTAACACTGATGTCGCTGCCTCTATTTTATCATTGATGAAATGTTTTTCTCAGGTGGAAAAACTGGCTTTATTAAACAGGATATAACTGAGCCCAGGTTCAAACTAGGTTGTTCTTATGTCAAAGCTGTGGTTCTTGAATGCTGTAGCTCTGGCCATTTAGATACATGATGTCATTTAACACCCATAAAATTATGTTAAGAAGCATTACCATCTGCATAGGAAAAGGAGATTATTATATAAATGATGGAGTAACATTTATGAAGCTGATGCCTTGTGTTGATGGTTTAGCCTTCTGCTATCTTTTATAGAGTAGGCCGGCTTTTAAAGGGCTATTCTCACAAAATACGGTAGGACAAATATGTCTGGCAAGGACAGCTTCAGAGGGGGCTGCAAGTAAAAATTCATGTCACTTCTTGATAGTTGGGGTTCACTGGATCAGACTCATAAAACAGAGATCTCTCCTATACTTTTACTCATTTAGAAATCAAATATGGAGTGAAAATCCAAGTTATTAAAGTCAGATCCCTTAAGCATTACAGGTTAGGCAAAATTAGTGCAAAATCAAGATGTAGTAATGATTCAATTAAAGGTTGTTTGCACCAGGAAATAATGTGAATAGTTTCATTTCTAAGAGTTAGAGTTGTCATTGATAAAATACTCAAATATTGATTTATGAAACTGCATGAGACTTATGCTCTTCTGAGTAGTTAGTGATCCTTTTACTTTTAATGATATGACTTTCAGTATATGGTCATTTGTTTGTGTTATCCACTTCTCAAAACTCTGTTTGGTCCTATTCTTTTGATTTGAGCAATATAAAGTGATTGAATATTAAGATTGTGGTTTTCCAGTTTCAACACTGCTGACACTTTGTACCAGATGCTTCTCTGTCTTGTCTTGCATGGTATCTATCAGTATTACTGGTCTTCATACACTAGGTGCTGGGGGTAACTCCTCCCCTGTCATGAATTAGTGAAGAATGTCTCCAGATATGGTGACATACCTGCAACAAAAGGTAATATGGAACACAAAGGCATTTCTTCACTTAAGGACCCACCATGTTTCCTCTTTCCTATAACTGAATTACAGCTAGGCAGAAAATAACGGAGTTCATGTTAAAAATGGAATTCTTTTAGCCGGGTGTGGTGGTGTACGCCTGTAGTCCCAGAACATGGGAGGCAGAGGCAGGCAGATCTCTGTGAGTTCAAGGCCAGCCTGGTTACAGAGTGAGTTCCAGGCCAGCGGGAGCTTCAGGAAAACTCTGTTTCAAAAAGACCAAAAAAAAAAAGGGATTCTTTTCACAGAATTTAGAAAGAGTTCAAATTTCTCTAGAAGCCAGAATGTTAATAAATTTAAGAACCAAGGACAGGAGAGGCTCTGAAATGATGTCCCTGTCCCAATAGAGCTGACCTGAAGGGATGAGAGGAAAGCTGGGCTGTGTTGGCACCTGGATGCTCAGGATGGAAGGTTTGCCACAAAGTCTTCAGAAGATCCCCCAGTTAGCCCTTCATTTCAGTGGCTGGGGATCTTGAAACATCCCTATTATGCATGCAGAAGTCAAGTTTCCCTTCTACTTCCCTGAACCTTTGCCCAATTCCCTGATGTCTCCTATCGCTCAGAGCATCTACAATGTAATAGAATTGACTGCATGTAATTTGCAGCATTTTGTGTGTTTTTATTATGGCACTTTTACTGGGATGCTACCTATGTCTCGAGTATCCTTCCTCTTCCTTTGCATCTTTTCATTTTTCATTTATTAGTTTCATACCACAAGTCAGGATGAGGTTTCCAGCATGCTCTAATCATCTTCCTAGTTCTGGTAAAGCCTTCCAGGTCAAGGGTGGGGTGCAGTAAAACAACTTTAGGGAAACATATCAGTTATTTCTAGATTACCTTTCCAAGCTTCTTTGTGTTGACAAAGTAGTCATATTACAAGGGCCAGAGAGTCTGTGGAATAAGGCCACTAAGGGAACTTTAGCTATCATTAATCTGTGTTGGTCCAGTCCATAAGGGTAGGATTTAGAGGTCCTGTTATTAGATTTTGACACTAAAAATATATAGAACTTATCTATCACTCCACTTCCACACATAGTTGAATCTCAGAGAAGTGAATTGTCAATTAACAAAGGTGTCACTTAAGGAATCATTAATTGCTAAGAATAAAGCCAATGGTTTAGCTCTCAGTATTGGTCATGGATCAATGTGAAAACTCTTGCTTTAAAGATGATATATTTGTTTTAATTTTGTGGATCTAGAAAAATACTGGGAAAGGCTTTGGTTTTACAATAGCCTTTCTCAAATCATTGGATAAGGGAGCCCATAGAAATGGACTGACAGGGAAAAGAGACTCCATATAGATTTATGTACGCTTCACTTAAACAGTTAAGATGGCTGACTTCTGGGTTTTTCTCCCTCTCTAAGATAAAGACTTGGTGGCTCTTGTTCTACCTGAGGGAACTGCTCAGCAGGACTTTCCAATCTCCCACCAGAGGGTTTCTGTGGCAGGAATCAGTGAGCTTCTCTGTATCTGTGTTGTCCAGTCTCCTGACACAGCAGCAGAAAGGGAGCTCAGTGTGTGGAACAGCCAGCCATTCCTTGGGATGTTGGGTGTGAAACTGGATTTAATTTATACATGTCACAATCAAAAGCGCTATTAGAGGTTGTTTACACATCTAAAAATAATATCTATATCATATCTATTAAGATATGAGAAACATGAAAATGTCTTTAAACAGATATTAATGTCACTGTTTAGAAACAAGAAAACAATTTTTGTTCTAGTATACCGTTCCTGTTTAACAAAATCAATTACAAATTTTATGTTTGGTAATTAAGATGATAAACAGGAAAATATAGAAGTTAATCCTCATTAGTTTATTTTGAAGAGTCAGACATAGTTTTAAACATTCAATTTATTTGTAGCATTTTACATGGAAATCATAGTATGACAAAACTGTATTCTAAGCTGGTAAACTGTAAGTACTAGACTGATGAAATCACAGTCTTCTAATAGGAAATACAGGTTGTAGAAATGGATATTAATTTGAGAGAGGGATGTTTAAAAGGGCCTCAGGATTTGGAAAGGTGCTGAGGAGGAGGGATAGAAGGCAGGGTGGTTATGACCGATGCATGATGTCTGCATGTTCTGAGATGTCACTGTGCACCCCACTAATCTGTACAATTAATATGAGTTAAGAAAAAATATAGAGGGCTGGGAATGCGACTGGGTGACAGAGTGTCTGCTTAGCACGTATGAAGCCATGAGTTCAGTCCCCAGAACTGCAAAACAGAACAAGAGCAACTAAAGAAAAAATGTAATTTTTTCAAAAATATTTCAGGGGTACGTGCAAATAGGCACCAAATAAAAGAAGCTCTCTAAAAAACAATGTAACAAGAATATGCATGACTTTAAATGTGAGAAAGGCAGACAGTAGACTGTCACTTAAAAGGCACATAGGTAGTAAGTTTGTAGTTTAATAGTTATTTAAGGAGAGAAGAATAATCCGTTATGGTCAGTGCCCCTATTTTTTCCAGATTGTATGTAACTCCATCTTTTTCTTTGATTTTCAAGATGAAAACTAGCTGTTTAAGAAGCAGTGTGCTGAAAAACACAAGAACTTTCTATGACATTCCATTTTGACATTGCTGTGCCTACCAGTATAGCAGGTACACTACCAGTAAATTGCTGTGATAACAAATCAGGAATCTGAAGGTTTTCTTTCTTTGATAGCATGGGTTGGCCCTCGAGAGCGGCATTCCAGACGCGGCCTTCCTTGCTTCACCCAAAAAGCAGTGTCTGCAGACTTGAGCTCCAGTCTAATATTCTGAAAATGAGATCACAGGAAATTGGTGAAAGATGGATCATCAGCTGAAATTCATTAGCTAGCTTAAAATCACCATTATATACAACTTCTCTTAAGGAAAAATTTTCTTTACTGGAAAACACCGATATTTATCTTTTCAAGAAAAGACAATGAAATATTTAAGGATTCTGTTTCTTAAATAATGATTCAAGTCCATAAAATGTCTGCTTTGGTTTGTCTTAAGAAGTCAGCTACTATTTTACCTTTTTTAATGATCCTTCTTGCAACAGAATCCAGATTCCTTTTCGAGTTGGAGTCGAGTAGGAAACTAACAATAAAAAAAATAATACAGAACTAAGACTTGTCCATTTTGAGGCTCAACAAAGAAACATGAAAGAATCTAGTTTGCGGCCTTTCATAGTTATGGGAAAACAGCTTTGTAAGGAAACTGGCAGATAATTCTCCATCTTAAAAGGAAACACAATTGCAGTAAAGCTCAACTACATCAAAATCCTAATGTTTAATTTTACTTTTTGAGACAGGATCTTATCACACAGTCCAGAGTGACCTTAAACTTGTTATCCTCCTGTCCTGGCTTCTCAGGGCTGGGATTACGAGTTTTACACCACCATGTCAAGCTGAAATTTAGGTTTGATTTTAAAGATAGATAGCATAAGCATTAGGAGTTTGTATATTTTTCTTATTCAAAAACTTGTTCTCAAAAATTTGAGATGACTATTTTAAAAGTGTATATGTATGTATATATGTATACTTAAAAAAAAAAGCTTAGTGGTTAAGAGCCCTTGCTGCTCTTGCAGAGGACCTGGGTTCAGTTCCCCGAACTTATATCAGGCAGCTCACAATGACATGCATCTCCAGGGAGGTCTGAATGCCTTCCTCTGGCATCTGCAGGCACCAGCGATACAAACAGTGTGCATTCATCCAGGCAGGCAAAATACTTATACACATTAAACTTTGAATAAAGCTCTTCGTTTGACAGAGTATTTTATATAAACTCCTAGGTTTTAGTGCAGCCTACAGTTCTACATTCAAATGTCTCAGGAGCCTATGGTGTATGCTACATAGTTCATAGTGGGTCATAACATTATCCAGAAACACAAACAATTCAGTTAGCTCTTAATTGGGAATGACTTTTATAGCAAAATATGATTTATCTGCAATAAGAAAGCTGAAAGAGGCACTGAAACTTTGGAAAACTATAGTTATTTCATTTGAAGCTTGCCAAGGACTTCTGAATTTTAGCAAGAAATCTAAGGACACCATGATCTTTGGTAACAGTGCAACTTTTCTAGGCAACGTACACAGATTGGTGAAATAACACGATTTCGATAAAGAATAATTGTTCAGGACATGAACACTGTTGTCTTGATTTTTCACCTGATGCTGTCTGCATAATATTCTTTTCTTGCTCTTGTTTGCAATTTATTTTCAGTTTCATCCATGATGTGATGGATATTTACAAGAACACTTTGGGGCTATCTATTTCTTATGAGTAGGCTTTATGGCCTATGTGTACTGCATCAGATGGACTCATCCCATTTCTATTGTGAAAAGAGATATAACTCTTCTAACATTTATTTTTGTTGGACACACTATTTTTTCCACTGCGAGTTCTTTATTTTTTCTAAATAATAAGTTTTCTTATGTCAGTACTTATGGATTTTAAGCACAAATGCTTATATAACCTCTATGATTCACATTTGGCCCAAAGCACAGTAAGAGAAAATTCTTATTCTCCTTATCAGCAGAGAAAGTATTATTTCTTTGTATTTTACAAAAATTAAAATAAATATCACCCACCTTGCTGTTGAAGGGAATACTATTCAGCACGTTTTCATTGTGGGCAGAATTACCTATAAATACAAACTCTTATTATTTCTTCAGCTATTCACAGGTAGAATAATACATTTATTCAGCAATTTTTAAAAGAGGTATGGGTAAATAGCAAAAGTATTTAACAAAGAAAAAGAGCATATTAAAAGTACTCTGGAGTAGGATATTAAGTTATTCTCTTTACATGGATTGACTAGTATATTGAGGAGTCATTGCTTTAGAAACAGTCTTCCATTTGGAGTAACAACTTCTACTTGATTTAATCCTGTGATTTTCTTTCCAGCATCTGCCAAGATGGACTAATTTCAGAGTGCTGTGGTAGCTCCCGCTGGAGGTCCATGCTGCCTCCTACCTTTGCCATGAGAGTTCCATCTCTGGCCCAGCTATGAAATGCAGTTCTACTGCTTCTCTTTCCCAGAATGCTTTGGTCCAGGCAGATTCTTCAATAAGTCCCTCGCTGGCATTTAACCCTTCAGTTCCCACCCAGTATTTGTCAACCATTCCTCTTCTAACATATTTGTACGAATTACACTCTTTTGAGTATTGCCCAAATTCATTTCCTCTATAAATAACTTCCATGTATTAATAATCATACTCCAGTTGCATAAATCATTATCAACTGCTATAGAAATTCCATTTACAGTTCTTGCCTACATTCTAACATATGAGAAAATTAAGACTGACTCATTCACAAGAACACCTGGAATAATTACTTCCATACAGAGAAATGGAAGGAAATAAATGATGCCCAACACAGAAGACCAGAAGACCTGCAACGCCAATAGCAGAGGAGGGGGAAAGACCTAGAATCTAGCCAACTAGAACATCGCTAAGAGATGTTCAATAGTAAATGTAAGTAAAAATGGTTTACCATTTTCCAATAACAAGATGCATACTCACTGGATTCAAAAACAAGACTAAACTATCTGGTATCTCAAAATAATGTGCTTAGCTAGTGAAAACACCAAAAACTGGAGTCAAAAGATGGGAATTCCTCTCCAAACAAATGAAAGCCATAAACAAGCAAGAAGAGGAATTCTTAATACTTAATAAAGAAGATATCAAACCAAAACTAGTCAGAAGAGACTAAGAAGGACATTAAATACTTAATGGAATAATTCATTAGGAAGATATAATAATTGTAAATAAATATATTGAATACTGGGGCCTTCAGACTCATCTAACAAATGCTAAAAAGCAGAAAAGACCACAGAGATTGTAACAGAAAAATAGTGGAAGACTTTACTATCCCACTCATATTAAATAGGTCTTTCAAAATAGAAGTCAGCAATGAAAATTCAGAGCTAATATTATAACACAGAGTTACTGGATTTAAGAGACATCTAACAGAGTTTTCTACCTAACAGAGAAGACATATTCCTCTGAGTAGTACACAAGAGACTTGATCTAAAATCGATCACATTGGATGCCACAGAGAAAGCCTTAGCAAATGCAAAAATGTGAGTATCTTATAAGACCACAGTGGAGTGAAAATATGAATTGACAGCAGGAGATGCCTCAGAAATTGCAAAATACTTGGGGACTGAATAATACACTTTGGAATGAACAGAGCATCTTCGAAGAAGTCAGGGAAGAGATTCTTTTAAATACTAGTACAGCCTAGTAGAGCCTAGGTGATTCAGCTAAGGCAGCCCACTAGATCCTCTTGAGAGTCAGCCAAGGAAAGTCCTCAGAGAAAAGTTATAGGTATAAGTACTAGCATTAAAAATCAGAGAGATCTCAAATAAACAATCTGATAATGAACTTCAGAGTGCTAGAGAAAGAAGCCAAAACCAAGTCCAGTAGACAGCAAGAAATAATAAAGATTAAAGGAGAAATTAACAAAATGGCGAACAAAGGAACAATACATTGATTTATTAAGAGACTTAGTTCCCTGAAAAGATGAACAAGATTGACAATCTCCTGGTCAAAGTGAAAAAAATACAGAAGCTCCAAATTAATAAAATTAGAGATGAAAAGTGTTGTTATAGCAGACTCTCAGAAAATCCAGATGATAATTAGAAAATACTTTGCAAACACATTCTATATAGCTAGAAAAGTAAAAAATACCATAAACTCATATGACCTACTAAAATTTAATCCAGGAGATTTAAGTAATTTAAACAGATCCCTAATAAGCAATGACAGTGTAGCAGTAATTTAAAATATTTTCACAAAGAAAAGCCCAGGACCAGGCAGATTCACTGCTAAATTCTGCCAATCTTCAGGAAGACCTACCACTAATATTTCCCAAATCGTTCCATAAAATAGGAAGGGAAGGAACACCACAAACTTATTCTACAAAGCCAGTATTACCCTCATACCAGAACTTGATAAAAACAATAAAAAGAAAATTACAGACTGATATCCCTGATGAATAGAGATTAAATCTCTCAATAAAGTTCTTGCAAATGAGATTGAATAACACAGTAAGTTCATAAACCATAATGAAATGGTTTTTGTCCCAGAGATGCAAGGTTGGTTCAACATATGTGAATCAATAAATGTAATATACCATATAAATAAACGTAAGGACAGAAATCATGATCATCTCAATAGATGCAGGAAGGCATTTGACACAGTTAAAACACCATCATGATATATGTCCTGGAGAAATTAGGAATAGACAGACTATACCTCAAATAATAAAGGCTATATATGACACACCTATAGTCAACATTGTACTAATGGGAAAATCTTAGTGCATTTCTTTGAAAATCTGGTGCAGGGCAAGGATACTCATTTATTCATCCTTATTAAATGCAGAGTCCAAAGTCTTACCTAAACCATTAAGATAAGAGAAATATATAAATCAGATAAAAATACGACTAGAAGTTAAATTATCCCTATTTGCATACATGATCCTATATGTAAGAAATCTTATAGATTCTACTAGAAACCCTTTAGACCTAATAAGCACATTCAATCATAAAGTTAGGGAAAAACAACAGACATAATCATTAACTTTTATATAGTTCTATAACAAACTTGCTAAAAAAGAAATCTAGAAAATTATATTATTCATAATAATTAACAAAACCCCGTATCTAGGAACAAACCTAACCAAGAAAGTGAAAGCCTCTACAATAAAAGTTTTAAGACACTGAAAAAAAGAAGTTGACGAATATACTAGGCAATGTAAAGACCTTCAATGTTCCTGCACTAACAATGTTGTGAAAATAATATATTATCAAAAGCAATATATAGATTTAATGTAATCCCTATCAAAATTCCAGGAGCACTCTTCACAGAATTAGAAAAAAACCTGAAAATTCATATGGAAACACAAAAGACCATCAGTAACAGAAGAATCCTAAGGAGAAAATAAAACAACTGTTTGGAGGTGTTACAATACCTGACCTCAAATTATACTTCAGAGCCAAAGGGACTAAGAAAGGGTGTCACTGGCACAAAGCACTTAGACCAATGGAACATAATGGAGGACTCAGAGACAAATCCACAAGATATAATCACCTAATATATGACAAATGAGTCAAAAACAGCAAACTGGGTATCCACCTGTAGAAGGTTATTAGATCCATATACCTTACCTTGCACAAAGATCAATTCAAAATGGATCAAAGACCTTACTTTAAAACCTGAAACACTGGAATTGCTAGAGAAAAACAAAATACTTGAGAATGTAAGCACAGACTTTCTAAAAAGGACTCCAAATGGCATGAAACAACCCCAAGAACTAGCAAATGGGATGACATGAAAAGTGAATGCTTCTGCACAGCCATGGAAACTCTCAGCAGAGCGAACAGACAGCCTGCAGAATAGGAGAAAAGCTCTGGTAGTTATACATCAGCCGGAGTGCTACTCAGACTACCAAAGACTGCAAAAATTAAACACCCAAAATACTAAAATTAATTATATAAGTGTATGAAACTGTCAAAAAATTAACGTTAATGAATTACTATGAATAAAAGAAAACAATTAAAACTGAAACAAAAACCCTACCACCAATCAATAAAAGAGCTAATAAAATGCACAGACAGCTCTCAAAAGATGAAACACAAATGACCAATAAAAATTTAAAAAGTGTTCAACATCATAAGCCATCAGGGAAATGCAAATGTACTTTGAGAGTCCATTTTACCCCAATCAGAATGACTATCACTGAGAAATCAAAGGACAACAAATGCTGTCCACGATGTGGGAAAGGTACCCTCACTCACTGCTGGAGGGAGTACGAACCAGTGCAGCCACTGTGGAAATCGGTATTGATGTTTGACAAAAAAACTAAAAAATACAACTATCACATAACACAGCTATGCCATGTGTAGATAGACACCGTAAGGATATACAGTGTATGCCACCATGGAGATATGTGTATATTCATATTTATAGCTTTACCATTCACAGTGGCAAAGAAATTGACCCAACCTAGATAACTCTTAATAAATAAATGGATAATGAAAATGTGGCTCATATATACAATAGTATTTTATTCAGTCATCAATAAAAATGGTATTATGAAATATGCAAGAAGTGTTAGGGAGAGAGAGAGAGAGAGAGAGAGAGAGAGAGAGAGAGAGAGAGAGAGAGAGAGAGAGTAAAGACCAAGAGCTTAAATAGAGGTCATAAAAATAGGCACAAGGGCCTAGCTAGTCAATGAATAAGCCTTGTTATGATGCAATGCCTCTAGCACTGATAATCTGGAGTATTATTGTGGATGTCAACTGGTTCTGTGCATAAATATGAAATCTCTGAGAATCTGTACAGTGACTATTTGGTTTACATTATTTAAATTTAAATTTTTCCAAGAGCTTAAATAGAGGTCATAAAAATAGGCACAAGGGCCTAGCTAGTCAATGAATAAGCCTTGTTATGATGCAATGCCTCTAGCACTGATAATCTGGAGTATTATTGTGGATGTCAACTGGTTCTGTGCATAAATATGAAATCTCTGAGAATCTGTACAGTGACTATTTGGTTTACATTATTTAAATTTAAATTTTTTATTTTTATGTGTAGGGGTATTTTGTCTGCATGTCTGTAAGTGCACCTGTGAGTGCCATGTCTGCTGAGGCCAGAAGAGAAGAGGGTTTTGAATCCCCTGCAACTGGAGTTACAGACAGTTGTGAGCTGCCATGTGGCTGCTGGGAATTGAACCCAGGTCCTCTGGAAGAGCAGCCAGTGCTCTTAACTGCTGAGCCATCTCTCCAGTCCCTATATTAATATTTTTAAAAAAGTTTTATATCCACTTTAAAATTTTTTTATTTATTAGTAATTAATTTTATGTGTTTGAGTGTATTGCCTTCATGTGTGTTAGTCCACTCATGTCGTGCAATGCCCACAGAAGTCAGAAAAGAATGTCGGATCCCCTGGAACTGGAGTTGTGGATCCCCTGGAACTGGAGTTGCAGACAGTTGTTCGCCATCATGTAGGTGTTGGGTATTGAACCTGGGTCTTCTGCAAGAGCAGCCAGTGTTCTTAACTGCTGAGCCATCTTTCTAGCCCCTATATCCACTTTTTAAAGTTTAAATCCTTCATTTAACACTGAAAACTTACCACTTGGATGGTGTATAATGGTGAGTTTATCTACAAGATAAAAAGCACGTTCTGTTAGGTTTGTTAAATATTATGCTAAGATAACTTCTTTTTATTGTTTGATGACATGGTGTCTTGGAGGTGACTGAAATTTCACAGCCTAACCTGAAAACAGTTACCCCAGCTCTGTGGGTGTGAAGCCATACCTCTTATTACTTTCCTCTTTTCCAACATTTGTCCCAAGGGATTATGATCTGAGGCAAGATTGATGCTGTGCATGGCTAATCTTTTAGTATGAAATACTCCTTTCTTTTTGAAAGTCAGCATTTTCAGTACACACACACACTATATATATATA